AACGACTTAGCCCTAAATTTCCTGAATATTTTTCTATGAATATTTCAGAAAATTTGTATGGTTTTCTCAATGTCATTAAAAATATTTTTTATTTTATGTTAAATTTCACATCTATGGTGTATGGCGGTAACTTAGGCATGTCCCCTGAAAATATCACCCTGCAAATGGGGTTTAATATTTTTTTTTTGTTACAAAAATTTATCAACAGCGTTTTTTGGTTTTTGTGTCTATGGAATGAATGCAAATGATTCGAAAATTCATCGAAATCGATGTGAAGCAAATTTCCATCTTGGTGTAAAAATTAATAGTTTTCACATCATGTCAGCAATTTGCATTTTTATTTGAACACCTCTTATTGGAAAATCCTGTAAAATACTCGTAACTCTCAAAAGAAATAGTGTAAAGCTGAGCAATCATTATGCTCAGCCTGGGGCCCCGTTATTTTTCCTTACATTAATATTGACACATGTACGCTAATAATGTTATGTTTACATTCCTCTTCTTTCCTCTTGCAATAATTCTCTTCTACATACACGTCAAACACTTCGAATTATTATTAATTTTCTTCCCAATATCAATCATAGAATAAACAAAATATCTTTTAATATTTGTCGAATACAAATAGCCCCAAATACATCCTTATTACAATAGACTTATGTATTTATTTCCTAGGATTATGTGGACATGCAGGGAACAGAAAAAATACAACTTTATTAACAAATTCTAACCATCCTCCAAAAAGTAATGTGAGTAAATAATTTATTTCACATCCCCAAATGGCTCAGTTGGCTATGTTTTGGGTTGTCTACGCAGCTTAGATTTTGTTAGCCGTTTTTTGTCCGTAATACCCGGAAGATGTAATCTCTTGTATTTAGCGGTTATTTTCATTTAAGCTTTATTAACAGCCAAAGGATATTCCCATATTTGTTGAAGGCCAAACATAATATTCTCTGTGGATGTGTTTGTGTGTTTTTATTTGTAATCAAATGTGTGTTGGTGTTGCAGTGAATATTGAATATTGAAATATGAAATTGTAGGTGGGGATTTATGAGTCTGAAAAATTGAGTTTGTATGAAAATGAACCTATTTACTGGGAAATGTATTTGCTGTAATTACTGTTTAGGGATTATTTTATATGGGAAAATTCTTGTAATTAATATTTGAATGTGTTATTTTAAAATTAAAATTTGTATTGAAATTGTTTATTTCATTATTATATTAGTAATTTCTTTGTAAATCTGTGAAATTTGGAATATTCGCATTTCATAAGTTTTATAAAAACTTGTCATTTTATTATTGGCTAAAAAAGCATAGTTTTCTTTTTGTATGCGGCATACCCAATGAATTTTTCCAAGGTTGGAATTTCTTCTTTCAAAACTTGCTTTCAAAGAATAAGAAATAATATATCGATAAAGAAAATTCCATTATCCTTACCTATAACCATAATTTTGCTTTACGTTATTTTTATTTATAGCTTGCCCCGGTCTTTATTCATAACATTTTCTCTATGTGAGTGTGTGTTCGTGTGTGTCTGTTTTTCGCCATGGCGCTTTGCAATTTTAAAGAAAACTATTTTTTTCGCTGCTGTATTTTTGTTTTGTGAGGTTTTTGGCGTAAAACAGGTTTGTCTATGTACGGACTTTGTTTTTGCTTGGTTAAGGCATCCGTCCGGTTGTTTACAATGCAGATTTTCCAGCTGCATGCTTGTGTTACCTTCTTCCTTTCGTTTCGTTGCGGTACAGTGAACAAAAAGGATCGCTTGCTGTTGCTTTTCCGACCAAACAATTTCAAACGTGCCAGTCGTTGTTTTTGTTGGTTCGAGGTTGTCTCCTTTTGTGTTCCCTTACCTTTCTTGCTTGGTAAGGTAGCTGCTGGTGTTTATATATCTCAGCATTGGCATTGTATTATAGTGCGTTCGTTCGTTCGGTAGTTTTTTTCGTGAAAGTTGTTGCTTTGACCAGTTGTTTGGTCTCGACGGTTCTTTTTTCGGTTCGCATAAAACCGGAAACGGAAGCAAAACTGCTTACAGCGCGAAAAAGCAACATAGTATTGGTACAAATTGTTAACATTCACAAAAAAGCAGAATCAAAAGGAAAGAATTTAAATTGCCAAAGAATGGCAAAAGGTGCTTTAAAATATGACTGGCTATGACTTTTTGTTATTTTCGAAATCAGCTGAAACATTGGGAAAAAACTCTATTTTACGGGTTTGAAGATAAACATAAGTCATATGTAATATGTTTTTTATATGTTCCACATTTTTTATAAATCGATACATTCCTTTTACAGATTTTTTTTTTGCGTTGGCGTTTTTAGCATTGCTTTATGTTTTTGTTATAGAAAATTATTTGTGTGGCCTGAAAAGAAACATCATGCATATTGGTTCTAGTTCTATTTCACATTTTTATATACCGATAGGTATATCTATATTAATAAAAAGTAAAGCGGCTGAAGCTAAAATCTTGAAAATTGAGCTGGATTTTTTGGAAATTCTTAAAGGTACTAAAAAGTACGAAATATGATTAAATTTGTATTTGGTGAACCGGTGAGGCTAGAAGTCTTATATTTGGAATGGGGTCACTGATTACACTTCATCAGAGATGAAATATATGTTTTTGGAAATTCGAACTATATGTATGCGAAGAGGACTAAAATGTATTAAATTTGGTACAATTGCGTCGCATGTGAACGGATAAAGACTTGAAATTTGGAATGCGAATCAAGTTTGAGAAATATGGTCGACACATGAAGGTGCTTTTGAAGGGGGTGTGTACTCATGTAAACGAAAATTACCACACGGTACTAAATTTGGTACAATTTGTGTTTGGAGGAACGGATGGAGCTAAAAACTTGGAATTTAGAATGCGAATCAAAGTTGAGAAGTAGGGTTGATATAAGGAGGTGGATTTAGAAGTGTGTACTCATGTAATCGAAAAGTACTAAACGGTACTAAATTTAGTACAATTTGTAGTTGGAGGAACGGATGGGGCTGGAATTTTGAAATTAACATTACCGTCGGAGTGTGGGTTTGAAATATGTAGATACTTTTATCTTATATGTACGAAAAGTACTAAATCGTAATATAATTGATACAACTTGTATTTGGGTTAACCAATAGAGCCGGAACACTGACATTTGGAAATTAGATTACCATTCGAGTGTAGGATTGAGGTATGGATGAAGTTTTGGAAATTCATACTTATGGGTACTAAATTGTACTAAATTTGGTACAATTTGAATTTTGGGCGAACCGATAGAGCTGGAATCCTGACATTTGGAGTTATGATAATTGTAGGGGTGTAGGATTGGGGTATGTAAATTTGGATTTGGGTGAACGATGGATTTGGGTGAACGTACTTATGTGTACTAAATTTGAATTTTTGGTGAACCCATAGAGTTGGAATATTGAAATTTGAAGTAAGGATCCTTGTTGGGGTGTAGGATTTGGGTATGTAGGAAGTTTGGAAAATTCAAACTAATGTGTTCTAAGTGATACTAAATTTGGTACAATTTGGAGATATGAATTCTATTGGTTTTTCTATTAATGTGTACCAAATGGTAATAAATTTTGTAAAATTAAGATTTGGATGAACCTATAGACCTCGAATCATGGAACTTGGAACTATTTTTGGATATTAGTACTTCAAGAGCACGAAAGGTAACAAATGACACCTTAATTAGCATAGAGTTAGATTTCTGTTGGGAAGGTAGATTTGGAATTACGCACTATTAGAGAACAATGGAAGTAAATGGTACCATAAGTTTAATTATAGTTAATATTGGTGGGTAGGTTTATTAGGTTTTCCGACATATGCAGTTTTTTGTGAAAACAAAACCAATTTTAATATACAATTTAATAATTCTTACAATCTTAAGGGACCCCCCCCCATTCACGATTTTAATTTTTCAAGATTTTCAATGGTCTGGTAAATCAATACCAATGCTTGTTAAGGTTTGTAACTTTACACATATATAATTGAAGATGTAAAATAGAAGAAAAATAATTTACAAAAAAATTTTGTTGTTGTTTTTTGTAATCAAAGAAAAGTCCTTATTTTTGATGGCGGGCATGATAACTCCTCACTGGAACATCGGAATCCGAAAATTCCAACGGTGTTAGAAAGAGTACATGTCTGGCTCTCGTATGAACTAGGATTATTGACATCGCTCTAAAATTAACAAAATGGTGGACTTTTAAAAACATATTTTTGGAAAATCGCCGATTTTTTACAAAAACCCAAGTTAAAAAATAAGGAAGATCTTCACCGATTGGCTTTATCCTAGTTCATACGATAGCTACACACTCACAGAGAAACGTGTAAAAATTTGAAATCGATTGGGTTATTAGTTTTTGAGTTATCGTGCCCGCCATTCGCAAAAAAATGTTTAGAGAAAAACGCGTTTAAAGTTTGAGAAACCCTTCAGCCGTCTCTTGATGCTGACACAATAAATCGGCTATATCTTCAAGAGTCCTTGAGATTTTCATTTGAAATTTTGTAGGAACATTTTTAAATTAGTGTAGATTCGGATTGTATCAACAAAATTTTTGACCCCGAGAATGGGGGGGTCCCCTTAAGTGATTATTTATACTCTTTTGAGTCGAGTTTGATGATCTAAGTTTTGCAATGAAAAGGATAGCCAGGAGAAGAACCTACGTACCCACCATTATGCGATGCGTTTCGCCGTTGGTTAAGCCACTCGTCAGGCATATTAGGCTATGTTGGCTTTACAAAGGTCGTACGTTGATAAATTGTATTTATTCCGCCCAAGCTTGACTCGAAAGAGTATAAATAATCACTTAAAATTACTTTCAAATGATCACTGCCCTTACAAGGCGAAATTCAAATAACAAAAATTCTTACAATCGTTAACGAAGTAGCGGCAATATGCTCGTGTTTTTATAAAAAAGATTCCGGATTTGGTGTTCTTAGAAAATACTGACTCTTTGTGGGGTAGGTAACAGAGGGACTTCGGACATTCCATTCGACTGATTTATACATATTAGAAATGTTGACCCTTAGTGGGCGAGGACCAATGGGTCTCATCTTCGGATTGATTTAGGCCTGGGGAAAAATAAATTATTTTTATATGAACTATGAGACTTTATTTAACATGCTTCGGAATGCCCGATTTTGGAACAATATGCACCGTTTTGTTGTATGATTTGTTGCTGTTGCCAAAAAATCTAGTAGTCGATTTTCAAATTCCTCCTTAGATATCAATTTTTTATCATTAAAGAAATTTTGCAATGCAATAAAAATTCCCATCCAAGCTCCCGAAGTTTCTGGCGAGTCACTGTAGATGTCCTGGTTTAACACGACATCTCTCCTGTTGGCCAATTCTGGCCGTTTCTGGCCAATTACTATCTTCAAACGGGCCAATTGTTGACAGTAGAGATCAGAATTTAGCGTATGGAAGCAACTCATAATAAATAATTCCCATCCAGTCCCACGAAATGCATAGTAGAACCTTCCTGGCCGTTATCCTGGTTTGGCCACCGTTCGAGGTGGTTCGCAGTCCTTTGACCGAGACCGTTTCCGTATATGACCCATTATTCATCTCCAGTCTCAATCCGTTTAATAAATGGGTCTATCTCACTCCTATTTTTTCTGTTAATTGGTGTGGCACCCAAACATCGAGCTTCGTTTTCAATCCAGCTTTGGGTAAATGGTTTAAAACAGTTTTATGATGGATTTTAAGCTCCTGGTCGAGGTTACGAATTTGAAATTGTTTGATCGATACTTTACGGGAAATCTATCAGTACAGCCATCTGCTGAAAAAATAATGGATTTCTTTTCCTCCAACCTAATATGTTGCTACATAAATTGACCTTTATGTGAGGAATTTGCTGTTTAGGTGTAGAAAATATAACCTTTTTTTTACTAACTACAATTATATATTTCTGTTACACATTTAATATAAAATATACTGTATTTGTTTACAATATATTTTTAACTTCAACAATATATTCAATATTTACGGTGCGAAACAAAATTAATTTGTGTGTTTGTGCATATTTTTCGGTTAGCTAATATAATCAACTGCAGTGATTTTACAATAACAATATTATTAGTTTGTTTTGGTCGCATGTTTGGTTTAGTTGTTTGTTTGTTTGTGTGTGGTAGTGATTGCCTTTAATAAATTCCATAATTTGGCCAGTATATTTAATAACATGACCAACATTTGATTTCCTCGTATTATTGTTGTTGCATCCATTACATTTTATGTTATGCCCTCAGTCAAAAACTGATTTACCAAAAAAATAAAATAAAAATTACCCAAAATAATTAGGAAAAAATTGCATATTTATATTTTAGATGTATGTATGGGTGGTTGGTTCGTTTTTCCTTTTGCTGGTTATGACATATTAAAATAATAACCAATTAAAAGTGTATTCAAATATTATTACAACGACAAATCAAATGCATTATTCAAATTTCATTATTTTTTCCACGATGGAAAAATATATATCGAATGAGTATCGATTCAAATGAATTCACATTGAATATTAATATGTGTATGGGTGTGTGTGTGCATTTATGTGATGAACGAACGAACGCATGGATGAATTGAATGTTTGTGAGTAAATGCATGCGTGCGTGTATTTTAAAATCTATGAACAAATATCCATTTGAAAATTATGACTATGGCTTTGCCATTTATTGTGACTCAATTTTGTGATTAGATAAATGTCTAATACTAATGGATATATAATAATATTTTATGACATTTTTATCACAAAATATTTGAATTTCTAATTATTTTGTGTGTAAATAAACATTTGGTTTTTAAATTGCATATTTTTCGAGAGAGGTTAGAGGGTTATTGCCATAAAGGGGGTAAATGCGTAAAAATAAATTAAAATGGAACCTCAAATATTGGGATCGTTAAGAAAATGTCAGACCATTAACGACAGTTAATGCGTCCGAGTATGTGTTATAATGATATATAATGTAAAAATGAAGACTTTGATCCGGATTGACCCATTGGTAGTAATGGCAGATATATAATTGAAATAAAAAATATATTTATTTTTTTAATGAATTGGTGCAACACTTGCTGATTTTGGAATAGATTGTAGAATTGAATCAAAGAAGACAAAATTTCAATATTTTTTTGGCAGTTTAATGTTGAACTCAGTGTATTTACATTGTATTCCATTTTTTTTTGTTTCAACCAAAAAATTGAATGAAGGTATCACAATCGAATAATTTGAGATTTATCATATATATTTATTCAAGGCATTGTCGTTCCTTCAAACAGTTAAATTAAAATTTATTAAGTAACATTAAAAAGATTCAATCCAATTTCTCATATTTAAGCTTTCCCATCGTAAAGTTTTACGAAAATTAAATACAAAATTATTATATAAAAACTTACCTCCTTCATCTGTCATCACCAATATTGTTGTCTCCGGTCCCAATCCCTCAGGATTAAAAACCTGAACGGTGACTTTATATTGGGTATATGGTTCCAAATTGAGGATTTCATGACTCTGTAAAGAAACAAACAAGATAACCAAAAAAATAAATATAAACACAAACAATATTTCTCGGTTAATCAGAAAATGGTTTAGATTTTTAAATAAAGTTATTTTTCTTATTTATTCAGACTATCAAAAATCTTTGGGACATGTTGTTCGTTTGTAAAAGTTTTCAGCAGTTTTTTATTTATTTTGTATTTACTTTCAAAAACAAAAAAGTTTGTGAATTTTTTTCTTAAATCCAAAAAGGCAAAAATTCCAAAAAGTAAGCAAAATATATAGTAAACAGAGAATTCAGTGATAGTTTTGTTGTTCTTGTCATTTATGTATGGATGCGAGTCGATGGCATTTCATCCAAAGCAAAAAAACTTGTTTTGAAAGTAAGAGCTAGATTCTGATAAAAAAGTTGCATTGAAGTATACTTGGTTTTTTTGCGACATTTACTTTTGTATGTGTGTGGGTGTGTGTGTTTTATTTTTTGTTGTTGTTGAAGGGAATAATCCTTTCTTTACAACTTTCGTTTATTTTTAAGATTTCGTTTTTGTCCTTTCATACAAAAGTTGATAATAACGGAAATTGCGCGCAAGAAATCATTTGTTCTTACAATAAAAACAACAACAACTACTACTAAATTTGAGCTTTTTTTCTTGATACCCTACAATTGGATACTTACGAAATACAAATGCGTATATATTTTTTTCTTGACTTAAAAAATCATCTTTAGCATAAAGTTATTTAAAGACTCTCATAGGTTCTCCCACTGGGCTTCTGAGAAATCACAACATTGAAATAAGGTTTTAAAATAATGCACATATATTGATGATTTCAAATCCATTTTTATTGAGCATTCTCCTGGCAATAGAACTAGAACACAACTTGCTGTGGTGGCTTCTCATTATATTACGAAAAGCTATTATAAATAGTTGGGGGTCCGAATCATTTATATATATTGTCAATTATTAACAATAGGAATGGTCTGGCGCATCTAAAATTTCCATTGGCACAGTTTGAGGTTCGACCTTGTGTTTCTTCTATAATAGAATATTAGCGCGAACATTTTCACAAAATGTTTACGATAATAGTTGATTGTAGGGTGATTAGACATAGTTACAGAACATATCAGGCAATATACATGAACACCTGGGCAGGAAAATTATGTGTTCTCGTAGGATTACGCACAATTTTACAATAGCTCAAAACAGCGCTCATGAGGATTTCTGCAATGATATGATTTAAGAATTGCGATCAATGTGACGAATCAATGCGAATGAAAACGGAACAAAACAACAATCCACCGTGTCTTCAAAGATGACACAAATCCAAAAAAAAAGTTGATGGAAGCACCTCGAAAATGGTCGCCTGTTTCTTGGGCAAAACTGTCAATTCTCAGACGTACACCTCCATTTGTTTGCCTGTTTTCGGAGAAATTCGATAAATGAACTGGCCCCAAGAGTAATATTGCTCCTAAGCCTACCTTTCAATAAACCAATTGTCATATCTCGACTAGCTGAATTGATCATCAGTGTCCGTCCGTAATAATTTGTAATTTGTAGAGACCACAATAATGTCCCAAACGTCAGAAAATATTACACGAAAAAGAGAATGTGGATATTTTGATGATAACACTGTACAACACAAAAAATGTCGTCTGAGACTTATAGTAAAACTCTATGATGAAGATTTTGTAAAATATATTCTGATTTGTTGTATCCCAGTTTTGAATGAGTTTTCAATCAAATGAAAGAGTTTTCATAGTTTTAAGATTTTTGACGTTTAAGTTGATTTTCGAGTTTTGGTCTATTCTAAGATCATGAATGTCCGTCCGTAATAATTGGTAAACGAAATACAGATCGCAATCGTTATGAAATGTACTTACGTCAGGTTCTGACAAAGTCAGTGAACTTTATTTTTGTTAGTGTTTTTGGTCGCCCAAACGTCAAAAAATATTACACGGAAAAGGGGATGTGGATATTTTGAGGATAACACTGTGCAACACAAAAAGTGTGTTCTGACACTTATAGTAAAACTCTATGACAAACATTTTTGTAGAATATTCTGACCTGCTGTAAACCAGCATTGAATGAGTTTTCAATCAAATGAATGAGCTTTCATAGTTTTAAGATTTTTGACGTTTAGACTGATTTTAGACTTTTGGTCTATTCTAAGATGTTTGTAGAATATTATAACATGCTATAACTCCGTTTTCAATGAGTTTTCAATTTCCGGGAAAGGGTACCAAAAATACCCGTTAAGAGATTTGCCTGTTAACGTAAAATATTTTTGAACTTATTTATTAAAGATTCATATATAATACTAAGCCTTCAGTGGCCAATTTAGTGTATCTCATGTAACGTAAAATATTTGCCACATTTATATCAGTAATATTGCCAAAGGCACCATATACCTAAAATGCAAGGATTTCGAGAAATTTTAATCCGAATATTTTCAAATGTCTTAGAAATAGGAATAAGAAATTGCAACGCCTTTTTAGGTTACCTCTCAAGGAAAACTTTCGAAATGCCGATACACGTGTCTTCTAGTTTTTTGTTGCACGGTGTAATCAAAAATAGTAAAAGTCCAGTTTTTGCATTATTTTACTCAGTAGTCAATTCGATGGTCATTGGTAGTGACACAAGTGACATAATTCTAGATCTACATTTAGGAAGGTGTATTTTATAAATCTAGCGGCTACGTTCAAATTCTTCTCAGATTAAAAAAAATAATCAGTGGGAGGAATGATGATGTGACGGTATAAAAATTAATTTATTTTCGGCCCAACAATGAGGCGAGTAATCCTAATAACTAAAATCGGTGGGACTCTCAAATTTTTTTCCAGGTTGTTTATCATCTTCGGAACTGAAATATCATATTGGTGACAGTCAGGTTGAAAAATGCGGCTAGGAGCTTCATAATACCTAATATTTGGTGGACAATAAAAATGTTCCACCAAGAAGTCTTTTAACTGCATCTTTAACTCCTTGCCAAAACATGATCAATATTTCAGCAACCTATTTCACGAATTTCGACTATGTGACTCTCATTGAACAAAAATTTTAGATTGTAGCCTATACGCAATTCGTCCACTCGCAAAATGTTGAACGTTTTGTACAAATGTAATTTTTCAACTTTCGTTGAGTAATATTTTCACTAATGTAAAATATAAGTACTTCGACACACATACATGCACTTTTAAGCTTGCCTCGCATTTCTCTTGCAGCATCACACATCTCAACACATGACAAAAACGTTAATCGGAAATTGAGTTTCTGCTTTCCTTCTTAGCGCTTTTGTGTGAATTTTCCGCCTTTCATTCTTAAAATGTGATTGTGAATGAACGAACGAACGAAAGTAAATAACGAGTCGTACGTACGGAAAAAATCGTAACAAATAAAGTAACGTCTTTTGTGTAAATTGTTGAGATTGGTTGGCTAGGTCACATTATCAGTGCGAGAGTGAGATGATTACTACAACACAAATATATGTATTTAAAAAAAAATCGAATGATGTCAGAAATGTCTTCTTTTTTCGTTTTGCTTGCTTGGAAAATGACACAAAAATTTACACAAAGTTTTACGCAAAAATTGTTTGAAGATAATCCGGTGAATTGCTACGATTGAAAGGAGAACAATACTCTTTGTCAAAAATTCCAAGAAAAGTTATTCCCTTGTTTTTTGGTTAAATAATCCTAGTTTGAAAGGGAAAACTTTTTACAAAGGAAATAGATGTAATTAATTTTATTAGTAGATCGTGTTGGTGTTTTGTTTGTTAGTTAGTTTGTGAGGTGTGGAAATTGAAGTTGAAAAATAATCTAAAAGCTTTGAGATAGAGGTGGAATACACATAAATGTTTAATTTGATTTAAAAGTTAGAGTTTCCGTGTTAGCCTTTCTGGCTGGAATATAATAAATTGCTTAATTGATTTATCCACAATAACAACAAAAATAAACATATAGAGAGGGGGAGAATCACATATTCAGAATTTATGAATTAATATTCGGCTACAAACTATATTTTTATTTAATGCAACATATAAAATTTTCAAATAACTTCATGCTATAGAAATAAAATCTATGTTTTAATTCTCGGTTAAAAATGAATGGTGCAAACATTTTCTTAAAAAAATTATTATAATGCACTCGCACTCACACACACATACACCCGGCAAATCATCATCATCACCATATGAACTGCTGAATAGGATGCACACAAACATAACAAATCTTTGCTGACAACAGCGTTTGCTCCACGAAAAATAAATCATAAATGCGCACTCTCTTGACATAATTGTTGTTAATATTCGTACATGAAGTGGAAATGGAAATAAACTTGCATGTATACACACACACATTTGTTTCTTTTGCTTAGAGTGTGAGTACATTTTCTTTGAACAAATGCTGCTGTGAGTGTGTGTGTGTGTGCAATATGTGTGAGAGGTACAATCTAGCAGTCAGTTGGAGTGACATTTATTTGAATCTCTGCATGATGGAGATTTTTTTACTGTTGCTGCTGCTTTTGTGTTAAATGATTTTTCACTGGCATTGCTCCAAACATGTCGTCATTACAACAGTTATCACATTCATCAAAATTCTTAAACATCTACATTTTTTAATACCCACGTAATATAAAAAATCGAACATTTTGAGAGAACACGAAATGTGCAGAGAAATGTGTGCATTTGGATTTAATTTTTAATACTTTCAAAATGTTACCAAAAATGTTGCCATACAAAAATCAATAACACTGTGAGACAAAAATCGCGGTCATGCTCTGGAGTGGAAGATTCCTTTTGGGGATGGAAGACTTGGGTGAGTATATGAAACCCCCGGAAATGAATAAGCCGTAGGTCAAAGTTCGGAGATATGGCGTTTTTTTGCTGGCCACCTTATTATCTATGAAGACATTTCTTAATATCTTCAATTGAAGCTATTGTATTTTTTAGGATTACATATTTATAGTAAAATCGAGGTAATGAGGTTTTTCTGAAGAACATTTCGTCGTACCTCTAAATTAATA